AATTCATCAATTTTACTCAGATCAACGACGGTCGATGTGTTTGCCCTCTCCCTTGTTTTTTTGAAAAATCAAATATCGACCAGACTGTCAATGCCAGGTTAACCATATATATTAAATGGCCAGACAATCGATATTCTGTTAGAGCATTAGAAAATTAGCACTTCCAATATACGCTTACTACGCGTCTATAGTGCAAAAGGGGTACTTGTATACGGTACCTTTCTAATAGAAATTAAAAAGTTATTAAATAATAAAAAATTATTTAATATTTTTAAGAATCTATTTTAATTTTTAAAATTATTAAAAAAAGCAAATAAATATAACAACTCAACTAAAATCTCTCCATACTTTATCGTTATCGTTACTTTTCGTCTAAGAAAAACAGGAAACAGGAAGATTAGCAGCCATTTTTTATTGGCACCGTCAAAAATTAAAGACAACAAATCATCATCAAAGAGACCTGGAAGGAGATTAGCCAGATGCCTTCCACATGAACTGCCTCCAAGCTCAACACGAAAGGACGTTTTGTTTTCCCAGGTTCTTGCAGATTTTTGGCAGAAAAATTATATTGAATAATGAGATTAAAGAAAACATTCAGCATTTTTGTTTCTTTGGATAATAAAAAAGGACGCAGGGACCTTCCCTGTATACGACAACTAACCTCCTCCCTTATGAATGAGCAACCAGAATATCTAGGGTTTTGCAGGCTTGTGATTTTCAAAGCAGCTAATTGCTTTCCAAACCCCGTAATTAATCTTTGTTGCTCTAGAAATTAGTAAAACTACTGTTCTTTTAGAAAACCACGTAACCCACTCGGAAAGCTTCTGCCTCTTCCAATCCAGTGGTAGCACTCAGAAGATGTAACCAGATTTTGTTTCTGAATCATCATACCGCAGCTTTCTTACTATTAATAAATTGCTGAACAAAACTAACAAAAATCTGATTCTGGGATCAGGACATTTTAGCCCTAGCGAAGAATATTCTAGCAAATAAAACTGCGAGAAACATGCATAAAACTTCCATGGGATTGAAATGAATAGAATTACTCGCATAAAATATATAGAGGTATATTGTCTGAAGAGAATTGACTATTCATACTTTTTTTTTTGGATTTACGTGGGTGTCCGGGCCAGTTTATACGCACCACGACTAATCCCCACAGCCCACTGAACATCCTGCAAGACCAGTGAGCAAGTAAGGCACTGCGGGGGTAACAGACATGCATAGTAAGCCTCGAACCCAGGTGCGGAGAAATGGGTAGCGTATACTTGAAAATTTTGGTAGCGTGTTTGATTGCGTTTCGGAAATGTTTTTTTAAAAGAATATTTTTTTATTTTAAATTAATATTTTTTTAATGTTTTTAGATTATTTTAATATGTTGATATTAAAAATATTTTTTAATAAATAAATAAATATTATTTTAATATATTTTATAGGTATTGATTAATTAAGATGTTTAGGTAAATAGTTTTCTTTTCCTTAACTCAAAAAACACTAAATTAATAGTAAAGTTCTAACCAGAAGAAATTTTAAAAATAAATGATATTTATTTTTGCATTTTCAAGTGATTAATACTCAGACATATATGTAATTTCTTAAGAAATATTTTTTTAAAATATTTATCTCAATAATTTAGGAGGTATTTATACCTCTTAAACCTTGTTGTTTTCAAATAAAAAAAATGAAAATTCTATTGCTTTTGATGACATTAACGAGGAATAAATACTCTTTATACATAATTAATAAGATAACAAGTATAGTAGGTCCTGGTTCATCAAATCCATTACACTTTCAATTCAAAAATTTATTTAGGATCTAGCATATTATCTTGGGTTCAGCTGATTGTTAAATCCATGTATATTAGGTTAAGTATCTTGCCCTGCCCATGTTATTTTGGATTCAATTGATGGTTGAATCTAAATATATTAGGCTTCATATCTTATTAAACCATAATACAAATTCACAATTGAATATACATAAATTGAATTTAATATCTTGCTAGATTTATATTTACTTAGATTTAACTTATAATTTTTTTTTTAATATGATAGGAATACAATATTTCTGATTTTTTTAACACAATACTGGTAGGATAAAAAGAAAAATTTTGTTTTGGTTTTTCATACGTGAAATAGTTAAGATATGGCTTAAATTGAATAAAGAAATTCTTGTGAAAAGGAAAAGAAAGCAATTGTCTTAATTTAAAGGAAATTTCTCCAGATAGTTTTGGTTCTGTAACAACCTCCATTTTAAGTGTGTGTGTGTATAATGTATACTGCAATTGAGGAAGTCAACTCATTATCTGTAGAGTCCAGCAACCAAATTATTGTTGTATAGGCTATGAAGAAAAAAAAAATACTGTGGTATCTTTTTTTTTTTAAAAAATGTAATCGGGTTTTGAGTAGGGAGGTTTTTGTGAATGGGAAAGGTATTATTAAAAAATTAAAAATTTATTTTGTTTTAAATTAATGTTTTTTTAATATTTTAAAATTATTTTAATACATTAATATAAAAAATAATCTGCAAACACCCTATAATCAAACTCAACCATTATTGCTCTGGAAGTGGAATGGGACATTGTACCTTTAATCCTCACCCATTCCAGCAAGGAAAAAAAAAAAGAAGCAAACAGAGCACGTAATTATTTGCAAGTGAGGGGCCAGTTTGAAGTAGGAATCCACTGGCCACTGAAAACAAAAAATTAACCAGAATCAACTGCAATATAGTGGTCGAATACATTACGATTATTAATCAGAAAAAAAAAAATGGCAGTCCAGCAATAAACATGCCATGTAACTACTACAGACAACCACTTATTGCTGTCTTCAATACTCAAGTCACAATTAGGGTCCACTCCTCTCTGCTGTAGCTCTAAAACACATATATACAAAAATGAAGCAGATAACATACCTACTATGCAAGCATGGTCGAATGGTTGGATTGATTACCGGGTTTTTTGTAAGTGTCTCTTTGTTTTTGGGAGTGGAAGATTTGAGAAAGAAGAGACTTTGAATGAACAGCAGCAGGAAGTTAAGGGACTACTCTGCAGACTTGTTTTCGAATTTCCTTTAGCTTTTTGCGCGGAAAATCTGGCTTGCTTCTTGGCACGGAAATGGAGGTTTTGAATTTGATGGGTATTCGATCGATTTCTATGATTTTACAGCAACATAACCTTAATGACTTGATCGAGGGCATATCAAGCAACTCTCCACCAAGCTCAGCCCAGCATTTTCGTTGAATGACTATGTAGTTTACCTGTTTCCCGCCAGATAAGGGGTGGGCTGGATAAGGGGGCATTCCTTATGGACCCAGAGCATAGTCATGAGTGGGCCAGATCTATAAAACAGCGCACTCAACTGTGTATTTACAATTGCTTCTTCTTCTTCTTTTTTAATGTATTAAAATATTATTTTTATTTTTGATGTTAACATATTAAAATTATTAAAATAAAATATTAAAAAAATAATTTTAAAACATTTGAGAAGCTGATGAATAGGAAGAGTTTGTGTTAGTAATGAAGCACCATATATTCTCAGGATAAGTAAATAAATCACGAGTGATAGACAAGAAGCCTGGCCGAAGGGCTCGGATTATATAAAATATTAAAAAAAAAAACATGAAGTCTTTTCTCAAAGTATTTAGAACTTCGGAGAGATTTAATTTTTTAGGTGTAAAAAATGATCAAGTATAATAGTCCCTTTACCGTTAATGTAAATAGAAAAAAAGCTGTGAAGGCACATGGCCTGTTGAATAATTTGTAACCGGTATGTAACTGTTAGTAGATTTAGGCTAAATTTAATATCATGTATGTTATTGGAGAATAATATAAATTATTTTTTAAAATTTTATTTAATAATTTAAATTTTTAAGTTGAGATAATTATTTAATATGATATCAGAATTTTAATGACTAAATGGTTACAAGTTTAACTCTCATTTATTTGATTAAAATTAAACATAAAATGATATGAGTTTGTATAAATTTTAACTTATAAAACATTTTTATTTAAGAAGATATGTTAGAGAATAATATAAATCATATTTAGAAACCCCATCTAATAATTTAAACTATTTGGTTGATATGGTTACTTGACACAGTAAAAATTATTTTTAAAATTATTTTTTTAAAATATTATTTTTAACATTATCTAATAATTTAAACTATTTGGTTGAGATGATTACTTGACACAATAAAAAATATTTTTAAAATTACTGTTTTAAAATATTATTTTATTTTTAAAATATTATTTTTAACATTAATATATCAAAATAATATAAATATTAAAAAATATTAATTTTAAATATTTTTTTTTTAAAAAATACTTTCCCATCGTCAAATAAATAAGGAATTAGCGTGTAAGTTCTAAATGGCATAGGAGATATTAATTTATTATTAGAGAATGGATCGAAACTGCATTTCTTATAAATTAAAAATATTTTTATTTAAAATTAATTTTTTTACGTTATTAGATTATTTTTACATACTAATGTTATAAATAATTTTTTAAAATATATTTTAAAAATATTTCTAAATAAAAAATACATTACACCTCATTTACCATAATCTCAATTCCCTAACGAATTCTATTACTGAAACATGGTGGGAAAACCACATCAAGCAGCACCGACACCGCATTGTTAGATTGAACAAGAACACCTTTTTCTTTTTTTCCTGTCAGGACAATTCCAAATCATATCAATAATTGACTTAATGAAGTACAAAATTAATAATGCTAAAAACTCACAAATTAACACACCAAGTTGTTTGTTGTCCATATGGAAGGTTATTTACATGACGTTTATGTTGTCTCTTACGTGACAGTAGCTATTTCCGTGGGGGGTTTTAGCCAGGGGCCAAGCAAGAAAAAAAATAAATTAAGGGGCTAAATTAAAAGAATTAAAATTTTAATTATTTTATATAAGAAAGGGGCCGGGAAAAATTTCCATGCCTCCGCCACTTGTTATAGCCCTTGATAATAATTAAGAGTATAATAATAATAATAAATCAGAAGCAAATCAGGGGAAATTAATCCGCAACTAACATTATACAGCATCTACTCTCTGGGGTAATGGGGTCGAGACCAACTGACCATGTTTTGGTCACATTCACGGATCAAGTAGAAGGTAAAATCAAAAGCCATGATCACCACCACACATCACACATGAAAAATCCATCAAAAGTAAAAACACAAGCAGAAGGGATCATACTCTATTACCATGATCACACTCACACAGTATATACAATAACAAAGCAAGGAAGCACAGCCCTTGGATTAAACACCAACAGCTCCTCCTCGTCCAACCTCGTGTGGATCCCACTGCCACCTCTTCCCAGGACAGAATCAGACCCCCTATCCTGCTTGTCTATATCCCCCTCCAGATCACACCCGATCCGACCCGCCACGACCCTGCAAACTAGCATAGCCCGTTTCACGTTCATGAACTTGAACTCCTCTTCAATCTCCTCAGGGAACGCCATGTGTGCTCTCCAGCTAGTAGACAGTGTAGAAATTCCATCCATCTTTGGTGAGAAACCAGACTTGATTATCCCACAAACACTGCAATATTGCTGGTTACAAATACTAGAATCCCCGTTCAGTCCTAAATCGCACATAAAAGTTGAGCAGTAAAACCTCAAGAGCTCATTACCATCAGCAATGCACCTCTCATCTCGTCTCTTGATAGGACTGTTTCTCGCTGCTTTAGCTTTGACAAACTCTCTGTACTCCTCAAATCTTGACAATATCTTTGGACTATTATGGATCTTCAAAATCCTACGGATTTCTGGGCTCTTGTCTTTGCAAGACCATCCAGTTTTAAATATGATATCGACTATATTCTTGCCTGAATCACCGTCTAGAAGCTGTGTGACAGCATGTTTGACAGCTTGATGCTGTTCAAGAAGCTGAGGTTTCTGGAAAACTTCACCGCAAACTGAACATGGAAAAATATCATTTCTCAAAGGAAAGAATTGGTGATCTGTTGAGATATCGGATTCTTCGCAGGACCCAGTTGACTTTTTCCTTGGTGGAAGTTCGGGCAAGTGAGTTTGATCAGGTAGGATCATGGAGACAATGGATTGTTGTGATGATCTTGCTGAGGTTAGAATCGGAGCTGCAGGTTGAGTTTGGGTTTTGGACGTTTTACCAGAGAAAATGCTTTTGAGGTAGGACCAAGAGGAAGAGAGAGCTTTGTGGGGTTTTAGGCGAGAATGAGAAGAAGAAATGGGAGCAAGAGGAGAGACTTTCTTGCGTTTCTTGGCTGGCTGGCGATCATCTAATTTGGCTTTGAAAATAAAGCAACCAAGATGGAGAAGAAGGATAAAGAAAGAGAGGAATTTGTTGAAGACTGAACCTGTATTGGCTGCCATTGTTCAATTTTGGAATCAGCTTGAGCTCTGGTAATTCTTCAGGACATCGGCATTCCTGTCCGAGAGAGAGGGGGGGTCATGTGAGAAGGAATGATGGAAGAAGCAAGGGAGAAAGTATAGCAAAGGAAAGAAAGAATGAATGTAGAGGAAGCTGACATTAAGGGTGGGGCATGGAAGAATAAAGTTAAGAGTAGGTGGAACGCAACTTCATGGCATATATTGTCATATTTATTTTCTTTCATGTGTGGGGCACAGCATGATAATTTAGTTTTTTAGATGATAATGGGGATTAAAGCAGAAAATATCATTACAGCTGAGTTCAGTTGAAATAATTTTTTATCGAAAAGTAACTCCCAATAATTCCAAGAAAAATGTTAATCTTATCCAAGCTTTCTTCCCATATATATATATATATATATTAATGTTTTGCACTCTATTTAGGGTGTTTATCAGCTGTCAAAATACCATTTTTTACAGTTTGAATTACTTTTTATATTTTTTATTTAATATAATGTATCAAAAATAAATTTTAAAATTATTTTAAAACATTTCCAAATAAAAAACATTTTAAAACCCAATACACACCACCCAAAGAATTCATTCACCAAATATGTATGGGATAATATGTATGGGATGGGATGGGATGGCATTAGTTCTTATCAACATCATCCTCAAGAACAATTTCCAGCATTGCAAAGTTGCCTGGATAATTAAGGTTGATATGGCTGTATGCGAGAGGCATAGACATTGAGACCTTGTTTTCTCTCGGGATCGGTGAGGAGATAGGGCAAATTATATCGAATAATGGAGCATTAGAGAAATTATTAAGAGGATGCAAGAAAGGCGAGCTTGGCATGTGGAGTCCTCTAATGCTGATGATGCACCTGCAACTGCAAATACTGATATATGGTATCTTATTATTGTTATCGGAGGCGCAATTCAAACTCCTAGCTAGATAAGAGATGAACGTGGCTATCTCCACACGTGCAGGGGTTCCTCGTTAAGCAGACAAACTTATCTTGTTTGTACATTTTCTTTCTGCCTCTTACAGATCGTAACAACATGAATTTGAGTGCCTGATTCCTCACAATTTGTTTATGAACACAGATACTGCCGCTCTTCCCCTTCTCTCAAGGAGAATCCAATGCATATAGTTCTGCATATAGCATATATATGACCACGTAACACATGATCTCTTGCAGATGCTCAGCCTTTAGTTACAATAGCAACGACGACTCTCCTCTGTCCTTGAGCAGCAGTGACCAATTTTCACAATAGCAACGACGAATCTCCTCTGTCCTTGAGCAGCAGTGACCAAATATCAAATGAAGAATCTTAAGAAAAGTAATCTTGTGAAAGATTTTTCGAGTCGTTTACAGAAAATCCATATTCGAGAAAGTTATTTTAATTAGTGCCCCTCAATGTGTGAGCAACTTTGTCTTGAAACTTCCAATTACATTGTTGAATCATACCCAGAAACAGTTGAAAGAACTAGTGTGATGAGGTAAGAGGATAGAGAAGAGAGGTAATCAGGTTAACTTTTCTGCATGAGCTGACGCAAAGAAAGCAACCGTGATTAGCTTGATATAACGTTGCACTAGCACTAGATATTCAGCAAACACAAAGTCGTCAAAGAGGCAGGTAATTCCAAGTAAATTGAATCCAAAGTATGTTATAATTTGCTGAATTTGTCAGCTGAACCATGATAACAACTTGGTATTGATTTGCTTCCATGGTCAATCGGGCAGGTACATTATCTTTCAAAATCACAACGGAAACCAACCCAGCTAGTTGACGGGTCGTTTTCGGTTTAACACAAATAACAAAGTTGGTGCTGGATAGCCATTCTTACGTCTTTCCTGCAGAAGGCAGTAACAATGGTGTTTTTTCTTATTATTATTAATGTAGTTTTATTTTGCTTCCTTCCCCTCAACTCGCGATATATTGGAAGGCAAAGCCAAGATTTTATGTGGGCCACATGATAGGACTGTCTTGCTTTTAAAGTGGGCCAGTACGATCTTTTTATTTGGCCGATAAATATTCTCCTGATCCCTCCGTGTCTCAGGTTTATTACCAGTGTCTTTGTTTGTGCGGTAATAAAATTGCTTTTAAAATTTTTTTATTTTATTTTAAGATTTTTTATATATTCATTTTTAAAATAAAATAATATTACTTTAACATTTTTCCAAATAAAAATATTTTTAAAAACAATAAATATCATATTATCAAACACTATTCTCAGCGGTGGAAAGAGGGGCTGGCCCTGCAGAAATTTTTTTTGCAGCCCTTTACTTTATAAATATTTTAAAAATAATTAAAAATTTAACTTAATTTTTTTAATTTTTAATTTGACCTTCCTTAATTTTTTTTTTGCTCCACCCCCTGACTACTCTACCATAGAGTAGATACGGGCAAAATCATCTTCTTTTCTCTTTTTTATTGAACGGGTAAAATCTAGAGATATGCACAATTTATAAAGAAATTTCAAGTGGAATAATTGGATATTAGATTCTATTTGAGACCATAGTTGTAATTATTTTTAAAATATTTTTTATATTAAAATAATATTTTTTATTTTTTAAAAATTATTTTTGATATTATCATATATAAAAACAATCCAAAATATATAAAAATTTTAATTTTTTAAATAAATTTAATTTTTAAAAAACATGATCCCTTTTAAGAATAAGAATACAGATGTATGCTCAAAAACTTTGTTTGGGAGCTGAAAACTCTATACAATATTGGAAAAAAGAAGTATTAAAACACACTCAAAATTATAGTTGACAGAGCAGTCAAATTTAAGAGTATGGTGGAAACATGTATCAATTTGATTATAATCATGCATTGTCGAAATAAAAAAGCTTTTGTGTCCTACACATTATCCTAAAACCCTTCACAAAAATCATCGCGTGTGAATGTGTGATAGATAACTTCATTAGTCAGGTTTCCTAGACTAAATGCTGGGTTGTGACACGACATTACTCCTTGATATCATTATGTTTCTTCTCGCCTGATTAAAACTGAAAGTGGATCATAAGCAGCTGGCGGTGACAAATAGCTATCATCGAGACCAAGACTCTCAAGTGAGTTCGGAACGAACTTTATGCCGCTGACACCATGAATAACCTTTCGATAAATGTCGCCTTAAACTAGCTTATTGGCTAGCAAATCAAATTATTATACTTAGGTAATATGAAAATATGATTAGTTTTTAAAATAATTTTATTTGAAGATATATTAAAATAATATTTTTTTGACTCAACAGTTCAACAGCATCTACAGCATGATGATACCCCCACAGGAAAAGTGATTAAAGTTGACTTTGAACATTGTGTTGACTCAATAATAATAAAAATAATACTAATAATTAAAAAAAAAAAAAGCCTTGGTTCGTAGTTCCTTACTCTTTACTTCTCCTCCCCGCAGTCTCATGAAAGAAAGATGCCGACATTGTTTTAGAATAATAACTAAAGAAGGTTGATGGGTGACCATTTTAATTTAATTTAAGATAAAAATATATGTTAAAAATCCCAGTGCTATCGTATGGGCTCCACACACCCATGCTCTTATTCTTACAACACACACCCTAGCCGGCAAAATGATGTGGACAAAGCGCGGGTCGATCTTATCTGATAAGATGCTTGCTTATGGTTTACAAAATGTTTCCTTTCAAAGTCTTCTTTTAAAATTAGATTCTCAATTATATTTCACAAAGCGTTCGAGTTTTCTCTTGTCCTTGAGTGCCGCTTGTCAAATTTAAGTTGTTAATAAATAATTTATATTATTTTTAAAATAATTTTTTAAAATTTGAAATTTACATAAATTAACACTACTTTATATTTAATTTGTATTAAATAAATAAAAATAGTAAAATTTAAATCCACAGCTACTTAATTATAAAATTGAATGATATATTTAAATACAGAATTCAAATTATTAAATAAAATTTTAAAATATAATTTATTACATGCACACGCTTCTCCTCGTTGGTTAATCGCCACCTAAAATCACCAGATGTGTCCCTTGTCCTTTCATATTTTTTGCCCAAATTCCGATTCTTTTCCTAATCTTTAGCAATCAATTTTACTCAAGTTGATAAGCGGGCACCCACCAGTGTGTTAAAATTAATAAATAATCTTTATTGTACTGTGTTATTTGCACAACTGTTTCGAAACGGGACGCCCTTCATTTTTTGCTCAAGATCATACTGCAGGTATCACTACATATGCATTAAAAGCAAATATTCTTGCTGCTCTAAATATATCACGAACATGTCACTTACGCTTGCTTTGAATTTCATGAATATATTTATGTATACAAGTTTTATGTTTGTGATATCAAAACATTATAAATAAAACTACTTTTTATCTCCATAAATCATATATGAGATGAAAAGAATAAAAATAATATCTTTAAAGGCAATATTTTTAAAACCCTATAACAAAAAAATAAAGTATTTTTAACTAATATAAATTTTGATGATCTTCATGAATTAAACATGCTAATATACGATCAAATATTCATATCAATATTTTATTATTATAGGCACAAAAAATAAAAGGTTGATGGTAAAATTTTTAGTTCTTGTAAAATAGTTTTTTTTATAGAGTTTAAAAATTCTTTGATAATTAAGTCAATAAATTTACAATAAAAGATTGTTTAAATGAAGGGAAGAGCATTAAACTCTATATACAATAGCACTTGCTTTTAATTTTTTGTGTAATAAATGCTTTTAGAAAATACGATAAGAGAATAAATATCATAAATCCTTTTATTTGGGTGGTTTGTGTTAAAAAATCATCTCAACTCAATAACTTAAGTCGTTAGATGACGTTAAAAGATATAATTTATATTATTTTCTAACACACTTCTTCAAGTGAAAGCCCTTTCGGCTTGAAACATGCATATGTTCAATTACCTTGTACTTAATTTTATCAAGTAAATAAGGATGGTGAGATCCGAACTCATGACCATTTTATTTTTCAAAGTTTTGATACCATGTCAAAAATTCATCTCAATCCAATAGCTTAAACTGTTAGGTAGGATTCTAAGATATGATTTATATTATTTTTTAATAGTTTTGAGAGTATTTATAATTTTTCTACTTTGAGCTTTGTTGTTTTGCTTAAAAAGTTGGGAGTCTTTTCTTCTTAAATATCCTAGTAAGGAAATAGTCTATTATAT